GAAGTCGGACGCTTAACTGACTGTGCCACCCAGGCGCCCCTCTGGCAGCCTTTTTTAAGAAAGCTTTTAAACTTGTCCCAGAAGTCCCCTGTCAAAAGAACTTAATTTTATTTTTGCTTTAGCTGTGGAAGATTGTTAGAAATATATTAAAGCTACACATTTATATTCTAGAAAATCGCAATTATATAACCTGTTCTCAGTAACCAGGTAATTGATGATTGAGTGGAGGTGATGCTAATGCTCAGAAGGAGAAGAGAAGTTAACAGGTAACTCAGAACTACCAATGAAATCAAACTGGTCAGGTGGGATGGAGAATAGATTTAAAATACTTTAGGTGGCTAAGGCTAGTACCATAATTGATTTTGCATTTGCAAACAACCTCATTTTTAAAGTCTCTTATTCTCCCTGCTCTTGGCGCACTCTTCCTGTGTCATACTGACTTAAAGCTGTTGCTCGGTGTCTCAGATTCCAGTTTACAGAGTTCACTGTTTAGCAAGTTGGTGTGTTATTTTTATCATCTTGGCAGACCCTGTACCATTGTTTTATTTGGTTAACCTACCAGTGGACATACCAGAAGACCAAATTAACTTCCAGGCCAGAAACAGACAAAACAGGTTTCGTTCAGAGTTACCCAGATCTTGGTGTTGATATTCCTTATACTGTTTGCTCATTGAACCAATTCCTAGAGTCTCTTTATAAGGGAATGATTTTTTGTTTGTTTTATTTCACTTGAACAACTTTAGATGGACATAACCTTCCTACATACATGTACACAGGCACACACACACACAGTTTCTTTTTTCCATAGTATAAATGGCTGTTACTCTCTTTGACTTTCTTCTCCCCTGCTCAAACTGTTTTTAGTGATTTTCAGAGTCTTGATGCAAGTTGTAGATTGCAAGTTAGGTGAATTCCCACTTAATTACTATCCTATCATCTCCTATGAGGCAGTGAAGGATGTCCCCTAATTGTGTAATACCACCAATACTGTATTTCATTGTTTCTAACATGCATATTTCAACATCACCAAAACCCAGAGGTATCTTACAATTGCCGATTACCAGGTGGCAGCTGTAATGTATTGTCATTGCCTATACTTGGCGCAGCCTTGATGTTGTTCCTGTGGCATGACTGGTTAGCTAGCCTCCTTGGGTTTTTTAGCCAATAAATGATTTAAGAACATTTTAAGGAAGGTTCATGAATCCTGGTTGTTGTTTGAAACCTTTGATCAGTACATTGTCATAAGATCCAGACTGTATCAACATTAACACATGCAGCTGATTCAAGGGTGTCAGTGACCTTCAGGGAAATCTGAGAGATGCTAGTGGAATAGAATATAATTTTGAGGAATACTTTTATCTCCAGAGCTCTTGGTGGTGTATTGGGAGATACCATGAAACATATGTATTGATAACTGAGTGAAAAGTCCTTCAGAAGATTCTTCGGTATATTTAAAAGGAATACGTTAGCCAATTCATTTTGCTTGTATTTCTTTGCTGTGCATGCAGAAATAAGTAGTGATATGCTAGACTGTGTCACTAACTTTGTATTTTTTTCTTCTCAGTGGTACATAGTTAAATTACATACCAAGATATGGTATTTGCTTTTTTTTTTTAAATACATAGATGTTTTCACAGCTAAGAAATTTTATTTTATTTTATTTTATTTTATTTTATTTTATTTTATT